GCGTGGGAGAGGTCATCTGGGTCTCTCACCCCACAAAGGCAGCTAGAAAAAAAGTCTTTTACTGCTGCCGGTCCCTCCCGTAACATGGCAAGGCCAAGTCCAACTCCAGACCTTGCTGATGACTCATGCCAGCAGTGAGAGGTCGCTGCAGCTCCGTGCAGCGGAACCAGAGGTGGCAGACTCTCTCCATGTACTTTCCTCATTAAACTACGAATCGCTTGTTGAAAACACATTGAGAGTTCCAAGTGGAGCAATTCAAGGGTATGAAATATGAGGATGAACTTGAGTGCATCCCCCAGGTTGTCCTCTGCACTATATCGTGCGCAATTATGCCATTAACGCCAGATCCCTGCCTCCCACAGGGCCCTAGATGGACCCTGCCCCCCCTGGGGCGGCTGTTGGGCTGTTTTATTTTCCCTGCTCAGCTGTTGGTCCCTGCACGCCGGTCAAACCTCAGCCTCCAGGCTCATTACTGGCAAGGGAATAATTCCTTTTTTGCAGGACTCGGTTTTTGCCAGGGATGGGAGGGAACAGCTTCAGATAAGTGGCATGAGACCTGAGCTTTCATGAGGTTCTGGGCCTCGAGTCAGTGTAGTTCCTCCCTGTGCAGGGAGGAGATGTGTCCTGACTCCCTCCTCTCTCTGGAACAGGTTTCCCCCTGAAGCACTCGAACACGCTGACGAACAGGCAGCGAGGAAACGAGGTCTCAGCCCTCCCGGCCACGCTGGACAGTGAGTACTGCCGGGCAGAGCAGGCTGAGATCCCCCCTCTCCTGCTGCCACGCTATTCCCTGTCCGCTGGAGTGGTTCCTCAGGCTGCTCCCTACAGTGCTGTCACTCTCAGCACTCGCCATGGCTGACTGTCCCCACTGCGGTACGGCAGGAGGGTGGTAGTTACCCATCAGGTTGTTTGGGGCTCAGACAGGAGCTGTTCAGCCACCACCACCCCAGACTTGCAGGGACACACCTACAGACGGTGGGTGCTGCTCTGGGGAAACATTTTGTCCTGATGGGGGAATTCTTTCTGTCCCCCAGCATTGTCTATCCACCAGCTCGCTGCCCAAGGAGAGCTCAGCCAGCTGAAGGAGCACCTTCGGAAAGGTACACATCTCTTCATTGGGTTCTTACCCCAGACCACGCAGAGTCCTGCCAGATGCCTTTTGATAAACCCTCGGCTCGGTTCCACAGCCTTTGTTGGATTTACTTGGGGAACAGGGAGTAGAGGAGGCTTTACCTTCCTTATTTACCATGTCTCATCCTGTTTGTGCAGGTGAAAACTTGGTAAATAAACCTGATGAGAGAGGTTTCACACCGCTGATCTGGGCTGCAGCCTTCGGAGAGATCGAAACAGTCCGTCACCTGCTGGAATGGGTAAGGCCACGCTCACACAGCACCTCGTTAACAGGAGACTTCCCATCTCCAACCCTGGTGGCTGCCAAATTGTCCAGCACCGTCCGGGCACCATCTCAGCCAAGCTGTCCCACGGCACCAAACAGGACGCGCTTGCAGAGCTAACAGCTCAGCCGCTGTCGGATGCTGCTCCCCGTTGGGCTGTGAGCTAAGTCAGGAGCGTGAAGAGCCTTATCTCACAGCTAGCAATAACTGTTTGTAATTAAATATCTGCTTATTGGTAATTTGAGATCAGGCTTATCACTTGGGCGCTGTAATCTGCCAGGAAATGTGCTCGCCGAGGTGTCATTGCAGTTAATGAACTCATTGCTGCGTCGTCCTTGAGTGCTGGGCTCGCAGATGAGGACTGTCCTGGGGTGAGCAGGAACCAGATCCGCCTGCGCTCTGGATCCAGCTGCTCCCCAAAGCTCAGTCCCACATCCACGTGTGTCCAACGATCATCCACGTGTGTCCAACGATCAGCGAGCACTCACGCCACATAAGCACCAGCCAAACCCTGGCACAGCAGCCAAATGTCGGTGTATTACCCGAGAGACAAACAGAACCTAAAATAAACGAGGTGATACGTTGGTAAAGGATGTCATGAAGTCCAGGAGAGGTCCGTGGCTGGCAGGGCTTGGAGGACAGGGAGGTTTTCTAGGTAAATCAGTAGCGAAAGAGAGGGTGGATGCTGTCCAGGCATCTAGACAGGGCTGGTAACACCATTACTGGTGATGGGAAAAGGGCTGAGGAACAGGAACCATCAGGCTGAGCTCACTGACACTGGAGAAGGGCTTTTAAGTCCTCACCTGAGATGTTTGCTGATGATTAAAATATCGTCCCCAGGGTGCTGACCCCCACGCGCTGGCAAAGGAGCGGGAGAGCGCCCTGTCCCTGGCCAGCATGGGCGGCTACACCGACATCGTCATCATGCTGCTGGAGAGGAACGTGGACATCAACATCTACGACTGGGTGAGTGCCGCCGGGCACGGGCTGCTGCAGGGACCGTGCCAGCGCTGGGAGCGACACCAAGTCTGGGACGGGGCTCCACAAAGTTTGTTTCAAAAAGCAGCCGCGAATTCACATCGTTCTGGGCTGAGCTAGCAGTGATGCCTTTCTCCCAGCTGCTTCCCAGGCTCGCAGCGCTCATTTGCTTGCTCATGCGGTTGTTTCGAGAAATTAATCTGGATAATAATTTTAAATGGTTTCCTCAGTTGCTCACGCTGGTGATGTTACCAGCCACATGGAAACAGCGCTCAGAACTTAAGGTTCTCTTTAAAATGACACAATTTAAAAGTTACTGTATTGCATACAGAAAATAGAACCTGTGCAGAGCTGCTCTGCGAGAAAACACCCAGCACGGAGCTGGGAGAGGGTGGAAAGGGGATCCCAGTGGGTCGGGGACTTTCCGCTCCGGGAGATGCAGGAGGTGGGGGAGCAGAGCCCCACGCGAGGCCGGCAGTGACACAGCCCCTTCCCTTTCCCCGCAGAACGGCGGCACTCCTCTGCTCTACGCCGTGCGTGGCAACCACGTCAAGTGTGTCGAGGCCCTACTAGGTAACGGGCAAGATCTGTGCTTTGTCCTGTCCTTGGCCTCGAATCGCTGGGGGGAGAAACTGAGCAGCCTGGGGGTGTCATGGGGGGCTGCCCAGCCAGGACGGGCACCTTTTGGGGGTCCCCTCGCCTTGTGCATGGAGGGGACGCTGTGTCGGCAGGGGAGTGCCGTGCCCTGATCACTGCCTGCTTGCAGCTCGTGGTGCCGACCTGACGACCGAGGCGGATTCTGGCTACACCCCGATGGATCTGGCCGTGGCCCTGGGACACAAGAAAGGCAAGTGTCCCCTCTGGCCTGACAGGGAACCCTGCCTTCCCTCCCCAAAAAGCCTCCAGGCAATTCCCAGCTTCCAGCCTTGCTTGGGGCTTTTTTGGACCTTCCGCCGCTCTGTCACGCAGAGAAACTGAGCGAGAGAAATCAAGATGGGTCTGTTCCCCTTGATCCCACTCCAAACCAGAGCTGTGCTGGGACAGGGAAGGTGGGACAGGCCCCTGGAGAAAGGGGTTTTTGGCTTTCCCACTGGAAAATGGGAGCAAAATGGTGACCAGGTCCTGCCCACAGCGGTACTGGCTTCTCACAGGCTTGGCTTCCCTGGGTTTCACTTCTCTCTCCTCCGTTAGTCCAACAGGTTATTGAAAATCACATCCTCAAGCTGTTTCAGAACAAGGAGCTGGAGTGAGGCAGCAGCTCGCGCTGCAAGGCTGCAGCACCAGCGCATCTCCCGACTGGTGGAGAGCTCTCCCGGGACCACCGCAGCCTCACCCAGCCGTCCCAAAACAGGCAGCAGCGCGATGCTTCGAGCAAAGAGAACAGGAACTGCCTGCCCTCGGTGGATCTGTGCCTCTCCGGGAGCTGGCACGGCCGCAGTGCCTCGCACCTGGGAACACTCATTCCTCAGGGCAGCCGCATTTCTGCCCCGTCGGGGCTCGGCGGCTTCGTGCGTGTGTGCATTCAGGTTTTGCATTATTGGAAATAAAACTGGAAAGTGTGGAGCCCTGTCCATTGCCTCCGCCAATCCCAGCACCAGCTACTGGGGAGCTGCAAGGGAAACTGGGCCAACTAACCTCTTCAAAGCCTGCACACCCCCCCAGTGCCCCAATATTCCTCTCCAGAGCTCTGTCTTTGAAGAGGGAGGCTTGCTCTTACGCCCACAAACTTGCCAAGCCCTCCCTGCACACAGCGCTGCAACCCACCGGGGAAATGCCCACAGGCAGGAACAAAACCTCGTGGGAAGCATCACCCTGCCAGCCAGGAACGCGGCACGACCCCGGCTGACAGCTGGCATGCTGCGATCCCGGAGCCCTGCGAGGCTGCAAAGAGCCACTTTTAGACGTTCAAGGGTTGTTAGGAAAGGCAGGAGACAGCCAGAGCCCACGGGAAGTGGAGGTGACGCTCCTGTCCCCATGGCCACGGCAAACCCCGCAGGGCTTGGTCCTGGGGAGCCAAGGAGCACGCGGGACGGAGCAGGGACACCGTTTATTCGGCCGGTTACACGGTCTGAGTCCCACCAAGGGCTCGGATGTCCAGCACATGGCTCTCTGCACTCATGTCCCCCATCACTGCCATCCTGGGGAGGGGGGGTTCCCTCTCAGCACCTTGGGGCAGCACGGCCCCAGGGGAGGGTTTGCTGTCCCGTTTCCCCCGCACGTGGGGGAACACTGGCGATGGGGGAGCAGCCCCCCCACACTGTCCCTCACCGCTGCCCTAGAGCCGCTCCCCCAGCACCCTGAGGTGGTACACCACAACCCTCCCGAAGAAATCTGTGCTGTTCCCAAAGGTGATCTTCAGCTTGTCCAGCACCGTCTCCTCCACCTGGAATCTGTGCGGGGCCCGTCAAGGAGAAAAATAGGCAGGG